AGAGGGGGGGGGTAGACACTCACAGCCCGTGCCGCGACAAGTGTGCCGTGTGAGTGAGTGAGACAACAGACTGTGACACGTGAGGGGTGACATGCAGTGAGTGAGCGCCACAATAGCCCCGTGTGACCGAGGAGAACTTAATGTGAGCAAGTCGGTCTGGGGGGAAAAAGAGGCATATCAACACAAGAAAACAGAAATGATAAATAAATTACTCTCTATCGATCCCCGAGGGGGAAATTTGGATCACAAGCGCAAACGTACATACTTAGATCTATACATAAATACATAAATACATAAATACCCTATTATTTTAGCACAAAAATATACACATACAAAGAATACCATCTAAAATATATACAACATTACACGAATGCAGACAACTTTATCAGATGCTTTTAGTTTAGTTTTAGTAAGAGTTTTAGTTTTGGTTGAGGTTTTACGGCACTCGGAACTGCATAAGGTCATATGAGTGCCAGAAGATTAGAGGTGTTACAAGAGAGTAACAAATATAAAAAAAAGAAGGAGTGCCAGAAGATTAGAGCTGTTACAAGAGAGTAACAAATATTTAAAAAAAGAAGAAGGGGAGATAAGGACGATTGATGTTTGATAGGAAAGAAGAAGCAAACCACACCAGAGCACCCGCCCACCAGCCATTTAGTAAGAGTTACACGGCACTCTCAACACAATTACGTCTTCAAAGGGCCCAAGATTAGAGGTGATGTAAGAGAGGAACAAACACCCCCCCCCCAAAAAAAAAAGGATGAGAGATCAGGACGATAGACGTTTGATAGGAAAGAAGGAACAAACCAGACCAGAGCACGCGCCAACCACCCACTTAGTTTTTGCATTAATAAAATTTTTAAGGCACAAGCAACACAGATAGATCATAATAATTATTCTTAAGACACTTTTAAGTGCTTTAGTTTCATCTGTCTACTGTCTATCTGTCTTGCTTCTGCCCTGCGCTATACTATGTGTGAGGCATCGTGGTGAAATCAGGCGCTCGTCAAAATAATGAAACTGAAGATATTGGCATTTTCACACAGGTTTGGGAATTTTTTTTGGAATTTTTTTTAAATTCTTTTTTTTATATTTTTTTTTTATCAACACCTTTCATGTCCATTTAAAGAACACATTTCTGTTTGGATAACTCTGAAAAACGTTGCATAAAGGTTTAAAAAATGTAAATTTTCTGTTTCCACGGACTCTCAAGCTAAGGAAGTAACTAAATTTTGGTGGCCATTTTCCACTTATTTTACCTCTGAAACCAGGTGACCCCCATCTCCTTCAATCGCAAACATCTCGACTTGTGCTCAAAATAACTGGATGTTTGTTTCATCGAAAGCAAGACAATTAAACAACGTTTAAGATTATACCAATTATAACTCTACATACCCCCCAAATTGACGAGAGCCTGATTCCACCGCGTCGTGACACATATTATGACCGTTATTGTGTCGACAAGCTTCTCTTTACTCACTCTCAAAAACGCCGCGCGGAGGTGTGACGTCACGGACAGCTTTTTTACCTCGTTATCGAGCCATTTTCATCAGGTGGTGGCGTGTTTGGGTTTTCGTTCGTTCGTTTGTTTTGTTTTGTTTTTTTCCTCCGTCACATTATTGCTCTGTGCCGTGTCTGGAGCTGTCTGTCTGTCTGTTTGTTTGTCTGAGTCTGTCTGTCTGTCTGTCTGTCTGTCTGTCTGTCTGTCTGCCTGTCTGTCTATCCACACTCG